GTTGATACACACCTTACCAGGAAAAAAAGCTTCATGAGAGTGGAGATTTGCCTGCTTTGTTCCTTTGACCCTCAGTGCCCAAAAGAATAAATAACTGAGAAATGTTTACTTTTGAAGATATTGCTTTCAATTTTAAATCAAATATCTGTTTTGGGAAATCTGTCTTCTGCCAGAATGTTAGTGGGTTCCCAACTCTCCTCATGAGTGAAAATTTATGTCCCAAGATATATGTAGCTATTATTACCATGAAAAAAAAAAATTGATTAGCCTGTCTTTCTGTAAGTGCTATATTGACAATCAGTGATATGTTACACTTTGTGAAAATTTCTGTCTGCACAGGATCTCATTATTAATATCATTACAAATTGCTGTTTGGGAAAATACTATTACCTCTATGCATAATTGAGAACCAAATGTTTATATTCCTTATGATGTCAGGTTGTATAGAGGGCAGTGCTGTAACAATTGCCCACTGTGGGTGATTGTGGAATCTGTACAGATGACTGAAGTCTCGTTGCCTGAACTTCGACCAGTCATTTCCAAAGACTGTCTTTCTTTTTTAAAATTTTATATGTGTGTGTGTGTGTGTATGTATAATTGTGATTTGGGGGAAAGTTTACAGAGCAAATTGGTTTTCATTCAACAATCCACACACATTATGTTTGGTGATATTTACCGCAATCCCCACAGTGTAACAGTATTCTTCCCTGTCCTCCCCATGGCCACCACTTCCCTTCATTATTCCCTCCCTTCTTCCCTACCCACCCACACCTTCCTAGCTCTATCCCTGTACAAATTCTGTCCTCTTGATCTCATATGCTTGATTGGTGTAATGAGTGCACACCCTCCTGATATTACTGTTCACCTTATAAGCCTGCCTATTGTTTAGCTGCCAATTGAGACATGGGGGTTAAGTTCACTTCCTGGCTTGAAAGGTGTCTATGGGCCATAGTCTTGGGGGTTCCACCAGTCTTCCTCAGACTAGTAAGCCTGAACTATTTTTAAATTTTTATCATTTTGAGTTTTGTCCTACATTTTCCCCTACTCTGTTCATAAGACCTCTTATTATGATCCCTTTCAGAGTGGTCAGCAGTGGTAGCCAGGCACCATCTAGTTCTTGTCTCAGGGTAATGAAACTGGGGTTCACATACTTCATTAGTTCTTTGGACTAATTGTTTCCTGCATCTTTGATTCCCGCCCCCCCCCACTCTTCTTTGCTTCAGATGGAGAGAGACCAATAGTTGCACCTTAGATGACTGCTCACAAGCTTTTAAGACCCCTGTCACTACTCACCAAAGTAGGATGTAGAACCTTGTCAGAGGCTGTGTTTCTAACAGAACAATTGAGATTATAATTGAGACATTATTTTGAATGTGTTGAACTCGATAAGGTGTGTGGTAGATTGATTGAATGAATGACTTCAATTGTTCCAGACCTCCCTCTGTTCATAACTTTTAGTGGTTCCCTCTCACATGACTCTGAACTAGGCAATGAGCCTTGCTTTTGCCAATGGGAAAGGAACACACTAATGCAAGTGGAGGCTTGACAAAGTGCTTGTATCTATCCACTTCCTCTCTCTTGGACCCCACATCTGCAGTGAGAACATGTATGGGCTGGCCTGCTAGAGGGATGGGAGGATCACATGGAAGATAGCTAAGTCATCCCAGCTGAGGCTATCCTAGACCTAGGCGATAGCTAGCCCCCTAGTGAACCTGTCAGGAGACCGCAGATGGCAGAGTGAGCCCAGCTGAGTCCAGCCCAGATCAGCAGAATTGTCCAAGCAACCTATATACCAATGAGGAATAATAAATAAATGGTGTTGTCTTAAGCCATTAGGGGGTAGAGTAGTTTATTATGGTGCAATAACTAACTTACAAATGGTGCAAGCAGAAAACAATCTTTGCAACCTGCTATGTGGGTAATTTCTGGCTCTTGGATGAAATTCAAGTTGAAGGTGGGTAGAGGGATTTCATGTTCACTTACAAAAAGCAGAAGTGCACCAGCTAATTTCAATTATAATAACCATCTCAGTATAGTAATTAAAATGTCCAATCTACTGTAATCATCAAAATGTCAAACTTTGTTAAAGATAAAAGTTTCTTTCTCCTGGCTGAGTACTGCTTTAGGATTTGAAGCCTGTTGTAGAAGAGGTGAAAGTGGTTGATTCTTTCTCTTCCCAGTTGACTCCTGCCTCAGCTCAGGGATAGGGGTGGGGGGGCATGAGGAGCAAAGAGGTAGGTGCTATTCTGACCTCACACTAGTGCTCATTGTCTTAGAGGCTGTTTAAACATGCTCTTGGAATCTTTCTGTGAGCTTCTTAGGCATCCTTCCACCAGGAACCTCCAATGCAATTCCCTTGAATGTGGGCAATGTCTTTTTATTTTTTAAAGTACATTTTCATACATAACATATAAAGACAATAAACAAATAGAATCATAAGCCTGGTACATTTTCACAAGGTAATCACACTGCATGACCACCACCAGACCAAGAGTTAGAATGCTACAGAGTTCATGAAAACGTCCCTCTTCCTCCTTGTTATTAAAACCAATTGCCATCAGTCAATTCCTACCCATGGTGACTCCATGTGTATTACTGTTCTCCATGGGAATTTCAATGACTGATTTTTCAGGAAAAAGATTGACAGACTTTTCTTCCCAAGTGCCTCTGGGTGGACTCAAACCTCTCACCTCTTGGTTCACAGCTGAATGCATTAGCCAACCATTTGCACCACCCAGGGACTCCCTGTTATTACCCACCCTCGTTCCCTATCCTAACTTCTAACACCACAGATGGATAGATCAAAATGGTTTTCTTTGGTAAGCCTGGTTGAACTTCTCAAAGACAGAATGCCTAGAATGACCTCTGCTAGCTTGCAGTTAACTAGTTCACCCACAAACATGCAAACAAAATTCACTGTTCTCAGACTTATAAATGCTGTTGTGACCTTTGTTCCCTGACTTGGTCCACCAACTGCCGACTCACATTCGAGCAAATAAATTACATGCAAAAATCACTGAAGAGTAGGCAGAAGAATAAATATCTCTGAGTTGTTCTTTGGTTAGTAACAACTACACCTAGAAAGTTTAAGAAATGAGAGGATATATTAAAGTGTATTAGTAATGGGCTGTAAATTATAACTATAGTGGTTATGTTTGTGTGTCAACTTGGCTGGGCCTGGTTGAGTGGCTGGGCAGCTGGTGGTAGTTATTCCCCATGATGAGACTGGCAATGAACTCCATGGTGGGATCTACCACAAGCAGCTGAGTAGCTGCCTTTGGGATGTGGTCTGCTTCCTGTATAAGGAGAAGCCTTGGGAAATGGTCTCTAGCTTACAGCATGCTTGAACCCTGCATGTAGCCGCATCATTGTTCAGCAGCCTTCCATGCTCTGCAGACCTTGGGACTTTCAGTGGACTTGAATTAATGGCCTGCCATGTGGTTTGATAACATCGGAACTATGCCTTGTTAGTCGTCAATCTTGGGCTTGGCAGCCTCAGCAGCCAGCAGCTGAGTGAAGAAAAGCCTCCAGCTTCAGTGGGCTGGGAGCAGGAGGCAGAGCTGAAGCCCAATGCTGAGGGGCTTTCACCCAGCCCCTAGAGCCTGGCACTTTGAACTTGGACTTAAAGCCTCCAAAATGTAAGAGAATAAACTCCTGTTTGATAAGGCATCCCATTTGTGTATATGTCCTTCAGAGCGGTGCTAGGTAACCAGAACAAAACCATATCACCACCAGCAGTTGCCATCAAGTTGATTCTGACTCATGGCATCCCTCTTTTGTCAGAGTTGATCCATGCTCTATAGGGGTTTCAATGGCTGATTTTTCAGAAACAGGTCACCAGGCCTTTCTTCTGAGGCACCTGTGGTTGGATTCTAACTTCCAACCTTTTGTTTGGCAGCCGAGTGAATTAACCATTCGCACCACCCAAGGACTCCCTTTTTGAACTGCAAAAACTACAAAATTCCTAATGAATCTAGTGATATATATTTCTTATGTTTCTTTAAAGCTTCCAAGAATGTAAACTAAAAAAACCCCAAACTCACTGCCATTGACTCGATTCCGACTCATAGCACAACCCCCCCACTGGGTGTCCAAGGCTGTATATCTTTATGGAAGTGGATTGCCCCATCTTCCTTCCTTGGAGTGGCTGATGGGTTTGAATCACTGACCTGCTGGTTACCAGCCGAATGCCGTATCCACTACTCCATCAGAGCTCCAAGAATTGAGGGAAATTTAACTCATTTCATATGTAATATGTGGTGAATAAAATATTCTCTATTCTTTCCATATATACCAGCAATCATATTAAGCATGGATTTTAAAATTCTTTTTAAATATTGTATCAGAGAAAAATGGATCTGGTCTCACAATGATCTGATTTTAGTTTCAACACTTTTTACAATTTTGCTGCAGAGAGAAATAAAAAGTGATTCAAAGCAGAACAGCATCATTAGTTGCAGACATTGTTGCATTCAAAATCCTACCTCACTTTAAGAAAGTTGCAATGGCAAACCAAAGACATTTAATGGACCACAGAGTGAGTCTAATAGTGGTATTTCACTGAGTTCTGTTCCTCACCGCCTGATGGGGTCTTTCTACAAATTCTGTTTTGATTGAGTATTACTAAGGGGAAGGAAAATATTACCATTAGTATTTCACTGCTTGGACCAATTTGTGTTCTTCAAAACTTGTTATCTTTCTCTGAAGGCTTGTCCATTTCTTTAATCCCAGAGCAAGATTTTTTAAAGTTCTCTTAAGTTCAAAAGTAAAAATACTTGGAAAATCCCAAAAGAAAAGTAATGGAGGCAAAAATTATTCTCCAAATCAGTTTATGTGTTTGATCAAAACTGTTTGAAATACATATAAACATAAAATAGAGAACGCTACATCTATTATGTACATAAAGTCTTCTCCACTGTTAATACAAAGTTTTAGCATTTAACATATTTTTTAAGAATGAAAATCTATCAGTTATCTCATGTCCTATTCAAATAATAATCTTACATATTAGCATTGCTTTCCCTGAAATAAATATTCTCAGAGCTTTGGGGGACATCTGACACATGGATCACAAATTTTTGTCCATCTCTGAGGGTTATGAGGGCTTCTTGCCCTACAGGTAGGCTGAGTCTTGTGCTACTTTTGGTGTCCTTGTCTTCCAATAGTATCAGAATTAGGTACAAGGGGAAATTAAAAAAGAAAAAGATACAAGGAGAAAGTTACACTTTCTGTTGCAGTAACTACCATTTGAATTATTCTAGCAAGCTCTCTTTTCCACCTTGGGAATAAACTGCTGTTGTTGTTGTTGGGAGGAGCTCTGGTGGCACAGTGCCTAAGGCATTTGACTGCTAACTGGAAGGTTGGTGGTTCAAACCCACCAGCCACTCTGTGGAAGGACTATGAGGCAATCTACTTCCATATAGATTTACCACCTTGGAAACCCAGTGGGGGTCACTATGAATTGGAATCGATTTGTTGGCAATGGGTTTGGATTTTTTGGTGTTGCCGGGTGCCACTGAGTTGTCTTTGACTAACAGCAATTCCATGTGACAAAGTAGAACTTTGCCACAGGGTTTTCTTGGCTGTAATCTTTACAGGAGCAGATTACCAGGTCTTTCTGACAGATCTTTCTCCTGTGGAGTGGTTAGGTGGGTTTGAACTGCCAACCTTTTATTTAGTAGATGACTGTTTAACTGTTTGCATCACCAGGGCTCCTTTTATTCCTACTAACAGCAACAACAACAAACCTGTTGCCATGGAGTTGATTCTGACTCATGGTGACCTCATGTGTTTCAGAATAGAACTTCTCCATAGGGATTTCTTGGCTGTGATCTTTATGAAGCTGATTGCCAGCCTTTTCTTCCATGGAGATGGTGCGGGTGGGGTTTGAACGGCCAATCATTAGGTTAGTAGTTGACAACAAACTGCTTTTACCAGCCAGGAGATCTTAATTTCTCCAGGAACACTCAAGGTCTGGTGAGTGTTCATGGGAGAAATCACAATCCAGGGATATACAAGAAAAAGGGAAGCACGGTCCTCAGGGCAGATGGACTTCCTTTAGGAAAAGGAATGGGAAACTGAGGTTGTTCATGAGAAACACCCTCAAGGTACTGTGGAAGCAAGCCTCTTCCTTTAAAGACAGAGAGAGAGTGGATGAAAATCAGAAGGGAGCTTGTGCAATGTAATGCAGGTCTCCATGTGGCTGCAGGGCCCATGGCATTGGCCATTTCTGGATAGACACCAATCCCTGCATCTCCCATCCATCGCTGGTGCAGACACAGTCAGTTCAGGTTCCCACCCAAATATCCCTCTACCATCCACCAAATACAACAACTACAAAGAAAAAAATGACTGTGAAAACAGTCAGTTGATAATTGGTTGAAATGGCATTCCATGTAGTAACAGATTTGAGAGATCCATAGGTTATTGTGTAACTGTGTCAGTTTTTTAGACAAGTTATTTAATCTGTCTAAGTCTTTCCATCAGGGAAACAGATATGATATACCATCTTTCTCTTAGCTCCAGAGGTGCTCTGAAGATTGATAAATCCTTGGACATGATTACTTTAAATCCAATATGAATGTATTGTCTTAATCAGATTTAATCAATAAACAAAAAAGCCTTTGGCATCGAGTTGATTCTGACTCATGGTGACCCCATTTGTTACTGAGTAAAAATGACAATAGGGCTTTCTTGGCTGTAATCTTTAGGGGAGCAGGTGGCCAAGCCTTTCTTCCCTGGTGCAGTTGGGTGGGTTTGAATGGCCAACCTTTAGGTTAGTAGATAAGCGCAAACCACCTGAGCCACCCGGGGACCTCAAACCCTCCATCACCTAATATGATTTCTAACGTAAGTTTAATGAGAGTCAATTTCTCACTCTCTCTACATTCAACAATCAGCATCACAACCCAATAAAAAGATACTTTTCTCCAAAAAAAAAAAAAGTCTTCACTTTAACCCAATAAGTGAAGAATCACTTATTTATAATATTTCTGTTGTGCTTTAGTCCTTGAGCACATGATCCAAGTTGAAAATCGTGTAGGTTATACATTTTTGCTTTTTTTAAAAAAAATTTTTATTGTGATTTGGGTGAAAGGTTACAGAGTAAATTCACTTTCCATACAGCAGCTCACATACACTTTGTCTCATGACTACAGTTTCCCACAATGCAACAGCTCCCCTCCTACTCCCTCCCCATAGTTACCTTTTCCCCGTGTCCTTCCCTCCTTGCACTCCTGCCCCCAGATCTGTCTCCCTGTGCATAAACAGCCTTTCTATTCCCGCATGACTAATCGCTCCAAGGAGCATATCTACCTAACATAAATGTTTAACTCATATGTTTGTCTTTTGTTTGGCTGGAAGCCAATTCCAGACCTGAAGGGCAGCTATGGGTCATAGTCTCAGTGGTTCCATCAGGCTCTATAAGACCAGCAAACCTAGTCCTCCTCCCCCTCCCTTTTTTTTTTTTTTAACATGATTTTGAATTTTGTTCCATATTGTTCTCCCACTCTATCCAGGATCTCCTACCAAGATGCCCCTCTGAGTGGTTGACAGCGGTAGCCAGGCATCATCTAGTTCTGGTCTCATAGTCGTATAGGCTGAGGATCGCATGGTGTACCAGTCACTTGGACTAATTGTTTCCATGTGTTTTTGGTTTTCTTCATTCTTCTTTGCTCTGGATAAGGAGAGACCCATTGTTGCATCTAGATAGGTGCTTGCAAGCTTTTAAGATCCTAGTCACTATTCAAGAAAGTAGGATGTGGAACAATGTTTTGGGTAGCATGGTAGTTATGCTTATGTGTCAACTTGGCTGGGCCTGGTTGAGTGGCTGGGCAGCTGGTGGTAGTTATTCTCCATGATGAGACTGGCAATCAACTCCATGGTGGGATCTACCACAAGCAGCTGAGTAGCTGCCTTTGGGATGTGGTCTGCTTCCTGTATGTAAGGAGAAGCTTTGGGAATGGTCTCTAGCTTATGGCACCTTGAACCCTACATGTAGCCGTGTCATTGTTCAGCAGCCTGCCATGCTCTGCCAACCTTGGGACTTACAATGGACTTGAATTAATGGCCTGCCGTGTGATTTGGTAATATCAGGACTGTGTCTTTTTACTTGCCTCAGCAGCCAGCAGCTGTCTGAGTGAAGAAAAGCCTCAAGCTTCAGTGGGCTGGGAGCAGGAGGCAGAGCTGAAGCCCAAGGCTGAGGGGCTTTCACCCAGCCCCTAGATCTTGGCACTTTGAACTTGGACTTAAAGCCTCCAAATTGTAAGAATAAACTCCTGTTTGTTTAAGCCATCTCATTTGTGGTATATTCTTGTCAGAGCAGCACTAGGTAACCTGAACAGGTAGTATGTTATGCCAATTGAGTTTGATATCCCCTGCGACTATGGTCCCGAACCCACAGGTCCAACTATTCGCTCCCTCTGGGTAGCTGGCTATGGCCAAGAAGTGACTACAACCTTGTCCCTTAGAGTGTACATTTTTTAAAAGAATATTCTTTCTGTAATATCAGTATTATTTTCACATTATTCTTAAGCATGCCTTGGCATTTTACACTCTTGAACATTGTTAGAATGTAGAGAGTGACAGATGGATATGGCAGTCTGGAGTGCTGACTTCATTTGTTATTGGAGGTGCAGGGCACCGCTCAATTGTTCAGAGAATGAGGCTGCCACAGATGTGCAGCTGAATAGTGTGTTAACTCGAGGCAGATGAATGCAGATAGGACAAAGAGGGTGTGCTTTTCTGTTGATCACAAGTGCAAATGCTGAATAATGAACGTAATGAAAACTAGACAAGCGTAACTTTTTGGTGTTAGATTGTTTAAGTCATTATAGCTAATTCAGCAGGCATGAATGAACAGAGGCAGGTTTAATTATTCTCTAATGCATATTACCTTGGATTATATGACACTTAATCTGGTTGCATTTCTTTTTTATGTTGTTCAATTGAGTATCTAATATCATTTCTATTGTTGCCACCAATTAAATATAGGTCAAACCCCATTGCAATAAATTTCCAGGGAGCTAGGGGCTTGGGTAGAGAGTGTTACGGGAAAGGGCTCAGATTAGGTGTTTGCTGGAATAATAATGAGTGGTGGTTAGTGGGGCTTACTCTGTTCTAAGAAATAGTCTAAACATTTTACACTGATTAACTTATTTAAATCTCATAACAGCCCTATAGAATTAGATATTAGATATCAGTATCCCCATTTTGCTGATGAAGAAACTAAGGAACAGATAAGTAACTTGCCCCAGGAAGAGGAGACATTTGAATCCAGAAAGTTATGTACCTGAACTGCACACTTAACCCGATGCTTGTTAATTATAGTGAATGTTACTTAATTAAATGGGAAAAGAGACGTGGCCTGAAAATATTTTGCCATATAATACTGGGACACCCATAACATACCTGACTGGGACTGTGACTAACCTCATTGGCTCTACACAGGCATTTTTCTAACCACAGGATGAAATGACTGCCAGCAGTCCAGTAGAAGTGTAATTATATTTTCCGTGTGACTGAAACCAAAAAACCAAACTCACTGCCGTCAAATCAGATCAAACTCATAGCGACCCCTCCTTGGGTTTCCAAGGTGGTATCACTACACAAGTAGAGTGCCCAATCTTCCTTCTGAGGAGTGGCTGGTGGGTTTGAACCACCAGCCATCTGATTAGCAGTCAAATTTAAATAAAAATTCCCCAAAACTGAAGAGTCTTTTAAATGTCTCAGAGGGCTCCTAAGGAGATCTGCTGGTGTTGTGGTTAAGGAACTGGGCTGCTAACCAGCCCCTCTGTGGAAGAAAGATGGGGCAGTCTGCTTCCGTAAAGATCTACGGCCTTGGAAACCATATGGGGGTCACTATGAGTTGGAATTACTTGATAGCAGTGGGTTTGGTATTTTTTTTGGTTAAGAGGGCTCCTACTTAAAAACGTTTTTATGATACATCTTGTAAAGCTAAGAATCTATGAAGCAAGAAACTATCCCCTAATCTGAAGAACAAATCTTAGAGTGCTAAGTGCATGCACTTTTTGGATGTCTTGGTCTGTCTGGCCAATACAAGTTCAAGACAGGGTGAAGTCAGGAACCTAACGTTCTAAGTAAGGGAGCAGCACATGGAACATGAGTATGAGAGCTTCGATAAGTACGTTTAAAGCACTCAGGAAAATCTGTCCAGGTCCAGGAGTATTTCCAGTTTCTTAGAGACTGTCTTTCTCCTGTTGTTGTTACGATTCCGACTCATAAAACCCCATGCATGCAGAGTAGAACTGCTGTATAGGGTTTTCAATGGCTGTGGCCTTTTAGAAGCAGGTTGCCAGACCTGTCTTCAGAGGTATGTCTGGGTGGGTTTGAACTGCCAACCTTTCAGCTAGTAGTTCAGCACTTAACTGTTCGCACCACCCAGCTGCTGCCTCCTTTCTCCTGTTGTTGTGTACCATTGAATTGATTCAAACTCATACTGACCCTATAGGACAGAGTAGAACTACCCCACAGGGTTTTCTGGATTGTAATCTTTATTGTAGCAGATTACCAAATCTTTTGACCCTCAGAGCCATTGGTGGGTATAGGCCACTGATCTTTTAGTTAGCATCTGAGAACTTTAATTGAGCCACCAGGGATCATTTTCCTTTCTCCAAACACTAAGGATATGGCTTTTCACAGTGATAGTGCCTTGAAGAAAGGACTCACATTAAGACAATTTCACTTTTCCAAAGTTTTTTTTTTTTTTCCGTATTTGACTAAATCGTCAAAAATTAAGATATTTTAATTTACTCATAACTCACCTCTTTTGGAATTAAAGCACATAATATCATACCCTCTGGGGAGAGGGTAAGGATCTCTGGTGGTATAGTGATTAAGGTATTTGGCTGCTAACCAAAAGGTCCGTGGTTCAAACCTACCAGCTGCAATTTGCTTCTGTAAAGATTTATAGCCTTGGAAACCCAATAGGGGTTGCTGTGAGTCAGAATCAACTTGAGTTTTTTTGAGGGGAGAGGATGATGGAAAATGACAATCTGTGGAGGTTTGAATCCCTTCTCTACCACTTATTGGCTAGGTGACCTTGGGAAAATTAATCAAGTCCTCTATGTGCCTCAGTTGTGCCATCTGTGAAATGCGGGTAATGACCACACCTATTTCATTAGGTTATTGTGAGAGAAAGAAGAAATAATACATTTAAAAAGGCCTAGCATGGGGAGACCATCAGTATCTTCTCCACCCACTTCCATCTGTGGCAGAAAAACTAAATGTTTACTCCCAGTTACTTGGCAATTAGGGCATATAAAACTGCCATGCTACATTCCTACCTCTCATCCATCCAGTGACAGGGCCAATCTGCTCACCTGGAGCTGAATGCTGTGGCCCTACACACATTCTTGTTCTGTTGAGGCTCCACAGAGTACACTCAGCTGCTGTCACCATGACTGGGTATGTGCTTCAAACTGTCAGGAGCAAAAAAATTCTCCTGAGCACAGACTGGCCAAGAGGTTCTTTCTTCAGATCTAACTGGGCCTTCTCTCTGACAATAACACTGAAATACTAGGCTCCATGAGTGGCACCTTAACGGCATCCAGCTTTTCCTCTTCTAAAGAGGCCCAGGTCATACTCACAAATTGGGTTCCATGATTTGGGGTCAGAATTTCATGCCTCATTTGTCATGTTTGCTTTCATATACACACCACAAAGGAGTTTTCTTATTTACAGACACACATCTGAATCTACTGCACAAAGGGCAGCAAATGCAGCTGGATATATGAATTTATGATCCCAGCATAAAACTAAGACCAAATATGGTCAAAAAGGGCAGTTTAAGCCAGAAAGATGCATGTTCTTTGCCACTGTTCATATTATTTTTGTCTAAAGCATATCTTGCCAATTAGGTGATTGATAATGGCTTGTATTGGTCCTCAGCAACCTGGAGAACTTGGAATGAAGGCTTTGTTTAGGAAAGGAAGGACCCTGAAAGGTTCTGGTCATTTTGAGGACTGTAGGGCATGAACAAAGGGCTCTGGTGGTACAGTGATTAAGGCATTTGGCTGCTAACAAAAAGGTCGGCAGTTTGAGCACACCAATCACTCCAAGGAAGAAAGATGAGGGGGGCAGCCTCAGTGAAAATGTATAGCCTTGGAAACCCAGGGAGGTCACTATGAGTCAGAATCAACTCAATGGCAATGAGTTTGGTTTGGTTTGAGGGCATGAACAGAGTTATGGATTGACTTTGGCCAATCTATTTCCATTGTGATGTTGTTGTTGTTGTTATGTGCCGTCGAGTCGGCCCTGACTCATAGCGACCCCTCCTTGGGTTTCCGAGGCAGTATCACTACGGAAGTAGGATTGCCCAACCTTCCTTCTGAGGAGTGGCTGGTGGGTTTGAACCGCCAGCCGTCTGGTTAGCAGGCAAGTGTCTTAGCCACTATGCTACCAGAGCTCCTTCCATTGTGATACCTCCTCAGAAACCCAAGGAGGGGTCGCTCTGAGTCGGATCCAACTCGATGGCAGTGAGTTTGTTTTTTCTGGTTTTATATCCCCCCAATTTTTATGTTGTAAATCCTAACCTCTATGCCTGTGCTTTAAGGAGTTCTGGTAGTGTAGTGAGTAAGACATTTGGTGGCTAACCAGAAGGTCTGTGGTTCAAACCCACTAGCTGCTCTGCAGGAGGAAGATGAGGCAAACTACTTCCATAAAAATTTACAGTCTTGGAAATCCAATGGGGGTCGCTAAGAATTGGAATCAACAATGGGGGTTGCTATGAATTGGAATCAACTTGATGGCCATGGGTATGCCTGTGCTTATAATCCCATTTGGGAATGGGTTGTTTGGTATGTTAATGAGTCAGGATTGGTATAAGGTATCTAGTCTATCTCTTTTGTGATATAAAAGAGATTGAACAAGCAAGCTAAGAAGCAGAGATGGGGAAGACTAATGCCAAGCCACATGAAGATCTCCAAGGATCCAGGAAACAAGCTGAAGAGACAAGGACCTTACCCCAGAGCTGACAGAGAGAAAGCCTTCCCTTAGAGCTGGTGCCCTGAATTTGGACTTCTAGCCTCCTAAATTATGAGAAAAGAATTTCTGTTTAGTAAATCCACCCATTTGTGGTATTTCTATTATAGCAGCACTGGGTAACTAAGACAAACACTTTCATATTGTGACTCATTCTGACAGTCACGACCATGATTAACTGACACTGAGGACAACATGCCTGTCTCTAAAGGTCTCCTACTAAGCACAACTTCTCATCTACTCAAAAGGAGGAGACCTAAAGAGAGCCTATGTTAAGTAGATAAACATCCAAAACATGTTTATAGATGTTTTAGAAATGAGTACTAAGATAATTGCTGTCACTAATTTTATTTTTCCTGAAATTAGTCCACTCTCCTCTCCCCAGTGGAGGAAATTCAATTGCTTCCTACATCAGCCCAGTCTCATCTCCTTGGCATTCAAGTATCTGTCTCCAATCTGAGTCCTACTCTTCTCTGGGCTGGGCCCTCCTCCAATTGAAATCAAAGACTTGAGTGTTGTGGGATAGAGTGGACTTGAGATCAGGCAGCCAGGGCTCAAATATCTGTTCCACTGTTTACCTGCATTTACTTGCTGTGTGACTTTGTGCAAATCACTCAGGTTCTCTGAGGCTCAGTTTCCTTATCTAACACATAAAAATAAAAAGAACAGACACTCTGCAGGACTGTATGACTTTGAGATAATATATGTAATGGGTATATCTGGGTGGGTTTGAACTGCCAAACTTTTGGCTAGTAATTGAGTGCTTAATCATTTGTAACACCCAGGAACTTCATAAAGGGTATATAACCTGTTGTCATCAAGTCAATTCTGACCCACAGTGACCCTTTAAAATAGAATAGAAATGACCCACGGGATTTCCAAAGCTATAATCTTTACAGAAGCAGACTGTCACATTTTTCTTCTGTGGAGCTGCTGGTGGATTTGAACTGCTGATCTTACAGTGAGTAGCCAAGTGTTTAACCACTGCATCACCCAGGCTCCAAAGGGTTTATACCAAAAACCCACTGCTATCGAGTTGATTCTGACTCATAGTGACCCCATGTAGTAGGTGCTAAATAAATAGCAATGCTTATTTTTATCTTTCAAGAAATACTCCTATTTAATCTTTTCAAAATCTTTTCTATTCACACTACTCAAGATTTCCTGCCTTTGAACTCTAAAGGCATTTCTAGTCCATACTACTTAGTTTAGCAGTCAGTGATGTTCTATTGCTTAGTTAGAGTAACCATGCCAGCTAGCTGGTGAGCTCTGGGAATGCAAGACCCAAGTCATCCAAACATTTCCCATTTCTCATCATGCCAGGCACATGTCAGTGCTCCATAAACCTAAGCCAACCAGTGATAAACCAATAAGCTATTCTAATCACCCCAAGCAAAATCTCCAGTAACAAAAATGTTTCCAAAATTCTTCATCAATGATTGCACAATGTCATTTTTATGGGTTTCCTAACCAATCTTTAGGAGTTCTGGTGGCACCATGGTTAAAGCATTTAGCTGCTAACCAGAAGGTTGGCAGTTCAAACCCACCAGTTGCTTCACAGAAGAAAGATGAGGCAAACTGCTTCTGTAAAGATTTACAGCTTTGGAAACCCTATGAGGGCAGTTCTACTCTATCCTATAGGGTTGCTATGAGTCAGAATCAACTTGATGGCAGTGGGTTTGGTGTTTTGGTTTTGTTAACTACCTTTTAATTTTTACTCCCTAGAAACAACTGTATGGAAATCAGAATCCTGAGGGCTCTACCTTACTGCCCATGGCAGTGTCCACATGGAAGCCCAGGACCCTTAGAGTCACGCTACTCACACTTGTGGGACACTGGCTCTGGCTTCTATGTTTCAGGATCCTTGGGCTTTTGTTCTCCTGAGTTGCTGATGAATCTGGAGGATGGGAAAGTGCCTGGTCTGGCTGGATGCAAGACTGGTCATCTGATAGCATTTCCTTGAGATTCTCCATGTCCTCCTCCTCCTCCTCTTCTTCCTCTGTGCATGATTGAAGTGTATGAATCACATATTCCAAAAGCAGCAACTGAAACAGATGCCAGGAGCCTATATTAAAATAACAACCAAAAATGAATAGACAGATAGATAGACAGATACTTAAATAAATTTCTGTGAAACTAACAGCTTTTCTGGGGTTTTTAACTCCTATTTACCAGAATCTCATTCCTATAATTGATCCTAAAGAGGCCGGGGTGGGGTCAACCATGAAGGCCACTTTCCAGACCCAGAGAGTCCAAGGCAGGGCAGCTTTTGGACAGAAAGAAAACCAAAACCAAACCAAACCAGTTGCTACTGACTTGATTCCAACTCACAACGACTCCATGTGTGTCAGAGCAAAACTGTGCTCCATAGGGTTTTCAGTGGTAGATTGTTAGGTCTTTCTTCTGAGGCTCTCTGGGTGGATTCAAACTGCCAAACTTCTGGTTACGGGCAAGCACTTAATCATTCACACCACCCGGGGACTACTTCACTATGTCTACCATCTGCATACAGTGGCAACTTTATCAGTCATTATACCTGAAAGTTAAATGTGGGTACCCCAAAGATCCCATTCTTCCTCCATCTTAGTTGTTTCCCCTCGTGCTTTGCTCAAAATGTCACAAAGAACATAATTCAGAAACAAGGGGAAGTTTCCTACATGTCCAACAATGATGATAGCCAAACAAAACATGGTTCATCTTTTGTTGGACCATTATGTTGCTGTTAATACAAAGACTGCTATAGTTTTGTCTGGGTTTCTGTATCTACGTTTTATTTTACACTGAAATGTTAATCACAATGACTATAGATTCTACATAGCAAGAAGGAAAATACTTATGCTATAATAATGTCTTCGAAGGGTAGAATACAAATGTTTTGTATCCTCTGACTTACCAAAACTATCCCTGTGGCAGAGGGTCATAGCTTTGCTCATGGCAGTGAAAAGGAAATTCCATCTTAGCTGGAAGCTGGCAGCCAATTTGATAAACTCCTCTTTGTTTCTGCTTAGCTATTACATTTTTGTGAGAAAAAAATGCTGGGGTTTATGATAAAGTCAAGTGAAACAGCATGCTTTCATATGCACACATTTGTCATGAACAGAAATTTTTAAAGGGGCCAAACGAGAAGAGGAAGACAAAATGATGTTAAGGGCGAGAACTGAGGCAAGTGCATCCGGGCCTATTTCTGGTCTTGCTCCATCCCCTGTGGAGAAGATTCCAGGGCAGACCCTTTGAAGTGGTGGAGAGAGGAAGGAGGAGGTGGGAGATTGGCCTACTTTTTAAAATTCCCACATGATTTTTAAAAAGAGGTCACTTATGAGGTGTAACGGAGAAATGCTGCAAGGGCAAACTCCAGTCTTCTTGGAAATAGCTGTTGAGAGGGTTGGTAGCTGTATTATACTTACACTTCTGCATGCTAAGTCTAATTATAAAAAAAAGGGCACAGAGTTTCATAACAGTGGACATTAACTGTTAATTTCAAAACTCGCCACTGTACATGTAAATTATCACAGGACCAGAAGTCCTGCCCATGTCTCTAGCAGAACCGAGGTTTGAATGGTACTGCTAACAAGGTTTATTTGGATCATACTCTAAGTTTATCACCCAAACTAGTTGTTTTTAAGTAGACTCCAACTCATGGTGACCCCATGTGTGCATAACTGTACTCTCTAGGGCTTTTCATGGCTCATTTTTCAGAAGTAGATCCTCAGGTCTTTCTTTTGAGGCACCCCTGGATGGACTTGAACCCCTACCCTTTTGGTTAGCAGCCAAGCTTGTTAACTCACATCATCCAAATCCAAAGTAAACCTATTACATTAAGCCAATCCCGACTCATGGTGACCCCGCATGTATCAGAGCACAACTGCTCCATAGGGTTTTCTTGGTTGTAATCTCTATAGAAGCAGATAGACTGGTCTTTCTTCCATGGTGCTGCTGAGTGGGTTCGAACTGCCAATCTTTTGGTTAGTAGTTGAGTGTAAACCATTTATGCCACACAGGGACTCCAAATTTACTACAAACCAGTGGAATCATATAGACTTCAAATGCATATGTTGAAATAAATGCCCCTGAAACTTCCTCTCATGATATGCTGTGTGGACCATCCACTGAACTCAAAAGCATTGCTTTGAAGAAGAGATGTGGAGACTGGCTAGAGATGAGGAAATGCCCTTTCTCATCTTTGCTTCTCTTCCCTTCTGCTCCCATTGGAAGGACAGGATGTGCAGAGGGTTGCCTGAACTTTGGTGGCTGTGAACTCCCTTCAGTAGCAGCAATTCACTGGCAGCATCCATCTCCCATGCCTTCTCACTCCTGTTTCTTACCACCTGCATTGGCACTCTCAGGAGGAACCCTGCTGGTCAAGGGGGTGGAGTAGGTTTAACTTGAAGGGACAATGAGAGTACCAAAAACACATGGATACTCTCTAAAAGTATTGGGAAAGGTAGTTCTGGACAATCAGAGCCCTCTCTCTGCACAAACTTTTAGACATGAACCAAAAACAACACTGAGCCCTCTTCTGATCACTACCAGAATGCAGCACTTCCTGGGCCTCCATTTAGAAATTATTTTTGACCCTGAATTGCACGAGAACAGTGAGAATGAAACACATGACAAGGTTTAGCATTTCCCTGTGTTAGCACTGCTACCAGATGCTCCCAACTGAAGCCATTAGTCATCTCCGACAAGCCCAAGGGCTTACATTTTAACAGTCTGAGTATTTTATTGACAGTAGTCTGTTTTTTTTTTTTTTTTTTTTAAATCAGCTAAGCTATTTTATGAAAACAAGTCCTTCAAAGGCATGCAGTTACAAAAACACCATTTTTCTGACATGCCTCATTTGTGAAAGCTGAAGATAGGATTACAGAGGCTTGGGAAACACGTAGTGGTGGTTTAAATAGAGGACAAGACTGTCAGGCTGTTTCTAGGCAGGATTTGTATTAATGATCTCAGTGGGCTTATCTTGGTTAAAGTGATAGGCTGAGTGAGAATCCAAGACAAGTAATAGTCCAAGAAAACATCTATCAGTGATGATTTGCAAGCCTTCAGTTATCAAATGAATACTTGTCTTAGTACCAATGCAACTCTAGATGTGTTACTGCTGTTATAATCAAGCTATGCTTAAGACCAAAAAGGAGGAATAACAATGATAAAGAAGATGGAACAATTATTTTTCAAGAAACAAGAATGGAAAGAGACATCTGCCAAAGGTTGGGATTGACTTTCAAGGTCCTTCCTGAGTTTTCAATTCACCTCTATGAGGTTGATGTCTCTTACAATTTTTGTGGACTCATTCATTATTTCTGCCCTTTACCTGGACTGAGAAGATGGGCATGGACAAGGCCAGGCTGCCATGGGAAATGAGAGTGGCAGAAAGGAAGCTTAAAGGAGAAAGCAGAAATCACATCCCACATCTCCGAGTCCCTGCTGTATGGTCCAGATTTGTCTATTTCTTCTTTCTTAAACAGACATTTCATTCTTCCATATATGCTCACTTCTCACACAGTTCTCTCTCCTGAATGCCTTGTTTCTCTTTCTCAGCTTTTTTTAACCCTCCTCTCCCTTCATGTCTCAGTTTAAGGCCCAGCTCCCTCTGCAAAACCTTTTCCAACTGCTTCAGCCTTCAGGGAAGACAATGCCTCAAAATGTCTGCGGACCACAGTCCCTAGATCCCTAAGGAATCACTGCTCCCTGGTGCATAATCTGAAGCATCCTTAGCTCTTCAAGTTTGATTGTTGATGAAGATGATGTAAAACAAGCCAACAGACCCTACTGAAGTAACTCTTAAGTGGCACATTGATCAGAAGGGCCAAATCCACTCACTTTGGCAACCAATTCATCTTTGATGTTTTGAAATCAAGCCAGTCACTTACCTGTAACATGTCTGGAAAACACCCAGATGACTGCTTTCCTTCCCAACCACATAAAACCCCTCCCCTCCACTCCCAGTTGGTGCACACACATGCTCACTTGCACACACGTTTACCTATACATGCACATTCACCCATGTGCGCACACACACACTCACTTGCACATACATTCACACACACTTCCACCTAAACACAAACTCTCTTGTGTACACAAATGGCCACCCTCACACCTGCACATATGCTTACCCATGTACACTCATTTTCATCTATGTATGCACACACTCAACTTGCACATGTAAGTTCATCATGCTCATCTGTACACATGCTCACCCACACCCACATACATACATGTTCACTTGCACACATATTCTACCCATGCACACCCATGTTCACCCATGCATATATATGCTCACCTGTGCAGATATGCTTAGCTGCACACCATGCATACACATACACTTGCATGATATGCCTGTTCTCTGAGTCTCTGACTTGTTTCAAAAGTAAGAGGTCACTCCCCTGTCGTCCACAGCCATGAAAGCTTTGACATATTCCAACAACTTCTCTAAAGAAATCTCTTTTTCCTACTACAAGATAATGGATATTTGGTGCTATGATTTTCCTAAAATTATCAACACCTACTTCTTTCCTTTTTTTAAAAAAAAAAAAAGATCAGTTTTGTATCTGGAAGACAAATGCTTGGATATTTGAAGACAGACAATTTAGGAATACACTTAGATCTGTGATTGTTCTCAGCAAAGAAATTAAACTGCTTAGACCTATAAAGAAACAGAAGAAAACAAAGAGATGGCATGAAATGTAGGAGAGTTTTTCTGTAGGTATTTGTATACTAGGTAACCTAGGAACAACATCTAAACAATAATGGTTCAAAGGAATTCCCTAAGGCGTCACATTAATTTTGAACACAAAGGATGAATTCTAATGCTGGGTTTGTCACTCCTGTGGTCATCTAGTTCAGAGTTATATGGTTATACCTATTACTAAGCATCTCTGCCACCTGTTGAAATAGAAGTATTTTGAAATAAAAACTACACCTTGTAATTATATAGAACCTGTCTTCAAATGAGCTCATTGCACAGTTCAGACATGACCTCACCTACCTATCCTTGCCATTTTCATAAGAGGTGTAATTTATTAATGCCATTTAACTGATGGTAGAAAATCAAAGCAGTTGAGAGAGTTAAGTGCTTTGCCTGGGGTTACACACTCAGTTGGTGCCTACCTGAGGGTGGGACCTCAGTGTGTGTGTGACATCAGGTCTTGAATCCTCCACCTGGGCAGGCAACATTGAGTGTGAGAGAACAGTCATTGGCTTCTGAACTTTGAGAATGCCACTGTATGCCAGCCAGAGTTTACAAAACCAAGTAGGTTGCTGTGGCCCCAAGTTGAGACTTGGCCAATGTTGGCCAGTGTTCAGGGGCTACTGGTGTGCTGTGTCCCTGCCAGGCTCTGCACCCTCTTGGGCTGGAAGGACACACAAGGATGCCAGTAGGAGCACAGGATTCCCAGCAGGCCAGTTGGCAGTCTGGAAGGCATCTTGAGGGGGCACATGGCTGGGCCCCCCAAGGCTTTGACTAGTGGCAAGAGCAGGGCTTGGGTGGCCATCTAGGATTTTTGGGGAAGCCAATAACCTGGGAGGGAGATCTTTTGAGAATTTAATACTCAGAACTGCTGCCTGTAGCCTATTTTAGGTGTTAACCTTTTAGACACTGCCTTGGTTCAAAGGGGAGGGTTCTAGGGGAAGATCTGAGACAGCCAGAGCAAAGGGAGCAGAAGTGATGATCTCAGGGCAGGAGGGTAGGGGTGGACACAGGCTATGTATTAACCATAGTTATGAATGAATTTTAATATTTTAATAACAGGTACAGCTCTACTTAAAGACCAAAGAGAGAGAATGGGATAATTTATTGGTGGTGCTTTTGTATAGTCCTAAATCCATGTGTCCACCTAGTAACTGGATACTTATTGAAGTGCTACTATGTGCCAGTCACTATGCTGGGTTTATCAAAATGAATAAGGCACAGGTGACAACCTGAAGGAGCTCACAGGTTACTAGGAGGCAGCTTTATACACAACTGGGTGTACCAGGATGGGATGAGAAGTACAGAGGAAGAAGCTATTGAATCTCCCTGGAGCATCTTGGTGGAAAAAGAACACAGGGAGCCCAGTACACTTTCATTAACCATCATACAAAGGCCTGGGCTTTCTGCCCCTTGCCTAGAGATTGGCCCTTAATCCACAGGGAGAGGATTTTAAACATTTTTCAGTTTGTCTCCTGAAGCAGCTCCCTGGTTCTCCTCCAGAGAGAGGGAGATATTCCAAATCAATATTTCCATTGATTTTCCATTGATGCTGTCAACTAACTTTCCCACTTCTTCATGGAAGGGAGTCCCCCCCACCCATGAAAAGTCAGTACAATTATCAGCTAGCAAAGGGCAAGAATAGCCACATGCTTACTATCACTTGTTTGTAAAGTAGTGAAATACATATAGTGAAAGTGAAATTGTTAAACTTCACATTGTTAAAAATAAGACTTGAGGATTCTAACAATACTGACAGCAGAAGCTGGCAATGCAGAAAGCTAACTAAATGCAATTCAGACATGATAGAAGAGACACCATTGAATCTATGCAGCTATATGATAGACATCAAAATTAATTTTTTTTTCCAAATGAGATACCCCAGGTTGATTTCCAGAAATTAAGATTGTCAAGCAACAACCACACTTACATGTTCATTCATTTATTAAACAAATATGTATTAGCATAGACATCATGTCAGGCTTTGGGGGTAGGGCCACCAGGTGTTCCTGGGGCATTCATCACCTCCTGCAGACAAAGATGTCTGAGCAGATAAGATATAAGCCAAAACCCCAAATTTGTTGCCTTTGAGGCAATTCTGACTCATGGTGACCCTGTGTGTTATTGAGTATACTTGAGCTCAACAGGCTTTTTTGGCTGTAATCTTTACAGAAGCAGATTGCCAGGACTTTCTTCCATAGTGCTGCTGTATGGAACTGCCAACCTTCACATTAGTCATCAAGCACAAACTTTTTGCACCACCCAAAACAAAAAAAATTTCTCAAATCCATTGTTATTGAGTCAATTCTGACTCATGGCAACACCATGTGTTACATACATAGTAGAACTGATCCATAGGGTTTTCTTGGCTATAATCTTTGTGGCAGTAGATGTTGTTGTTGTTTGCTGTTGAGTCGGCCCCGACTCATAGCGACCCCTCCTTGGGTTTCCGAGGCAGTATCACTACGGAAGTAGGATTGCCCAACCTTCCTTCCGAGGAGTGGCTGGTGGGTAGATAGCCAGGTCTTTTTTTTTTTTTCATGGTACCACTGGATGGGTTTGAACCTCCAACATTTAGGTTAGAATTTGAGTGCAAATCACCCAAGAACTTTTAATTGATAAATATAAAAGAGTAAATAACATTCTACTTTCTATTAAGAAATTCATAAATTAGTGATGATCACACTAGCCCCAAATATATACCAAACATGTCAATAAACAAAGTTGCAGAAGAAAAATTACACTTCATCTCAGTGATATTCTCTAGTTCATCCATGTCCCTGGTGTTATTTGGCAGGACTTTCTTAGAAATATCCAAAATGCCTTGACTGATAATGGTATGTAGATCTGTCTTCAAAATGTTGACATTCCTATTGTCTTTTAATACTATTCTCATAGTCTACAGATAATAGAAAAGAATAATAGTTAGTTTCAGTGCTACTTTTCATTTTACCTTTGCCTAATCCCCCTCTCCAAATTACCAAGATTTTTTTGTTAAGGGGAAAGAAAAGTGAATTAGTGTAAGAAAATGGAATCATACATGGCAATTTAAATGTTCAAACTTCACACGTTCCAGAATTGCCTTTTTGAAAATAGTCTCTGCTCTTTCTGAAAAGCCTCCTGCTCCTTGTCAGGTGTGTTTTAGGCTGTCAGGATGCTGAAGCTTCTTCTCTCCCTATTTCTGATTCTCTGCACCCCACTCACTCTCAAGAGGAAAACAGTGAGTGATGGATCATTTGCAAGGAAGAGCTGACTGATTCCAAGGGGTGCCTATGGGAATTCAGAATCGGTCTCTATCTTTTCCTATTGGAAGTCTTGGACAATGAAATTTAGTCTCTGTGAGCTGATATCCTCAGCTTTTCAGTGGGGACAGCCTGATCCCTTATGTTTTTTGGAGTGCATATGTTGAACACTCAGCAATCCTCAAAGCAGTCCTATTGTTATTGTTGTTGTTATGTGACGTCGAGTCAGACCTGACTCATAGTGATTCCTCCTTGGGTTTCCAAGGCAGTATCACTACAGAAGTAGATTGTCCAACCTTCCTTCCAAGGAACTACCAGCCTTCTGGTTAACAGTCAAGTGCCTTAGGCACTGTGCCACCAGAGCTCCTCAGCAGTCCTATGAATAGGAATTATTTTCACCCATTGCTGTAGAGTTGATTCCACCTCAGCGACTCCATGTGTGTCAGAGTAAAACTGTATTCTATAGGGTCTAGGTGACTGCTTTTTCAAAAGCAGATTGCTAACCCTTTCTTCTGAGCCCCCTCTAGGTGGACTGAACCCCCAATCTTTCTGTGAGTAACGGAGCACGTTAACTGTTTATACAACCCAAGGACTCCAGGCACTATTATCATCTCCATTTTACAGATGAAGCAGCTTGTCAAGGTTACTTGACACTTTGGGTGTCAAGTGACCTTTCCAAAATGATAGCAAGTATGCCACTTTAGTTGGGTTGAGATGAGGGTCTTGCTGCAGGGCATGTGCCAGGATTGACCGAATCATGAATGTGAAAGTGCTAGAGAATGGACTTGGGCCATGAGTACGTAAGGCAGTGTGAGAATCCTGATGAAATTCAAGTCTAGGGAGAGTTTGTGCTGGGAGGATAGAGACAAGAAGACAGAGGTCTTACTGAGTCACTCTGCTGAGATTGATTTGGAATAGAGTGACAGTCCCATAGCTCTGTCTGAACCTGATGCCCATAGGATTTCAGAGCAGATTCCTAGGTGGCACATGTGCCAGTACTTTAGAATTTTTTTTCCAATCCTTTTCTGTCTTCCTTTAAAACTGAAGCCACCTCAGGAGTGGAAAGGTTAGGGCTGAGGAACATGGCTGCCTGGACACACAGAGGGCACAGGGCCTTGTGCAGTATAAAGGGCCTGTCTGGCCTAGGCTCCGCTATGATGCTCTTTCACTTCTGACCCCTGTCAGCTCAGTGTGGGCACCTCTGTGGAGCCCCCCTGGCAAGTTTAAAACATCAACCTGCTTGCCATGCTTTCTCTTATGCCCAGAGGGAGATGTGGTGATTGGAACCTCTCTGTTGATGGGAAAAAAGGGAGTAAGCCTTTAGCTCAGATTAAGCCAGCCTACATGACCTTCCCAGTGTCAACAAGGTTCTCATGTCTATCGTCCAGGTGGATGGGAGCACCTTAAAGAGGGGAATACCTGCTCTTAGGAGATACCTGCAGCTCTCAGTTTTCACTTCAGGAAACTGCTTTGTTCACTGCTGTCTGGTTGGCTGGCACATACCTTTGCCATGAAGTATGTCTTTCTTCTTAGTCTTTTGACAAACACAGTAACTTCTGTTGAGAAAAATATACATGGCCATTATTGATACTATAACTTCAAATTCTTATGAATGATAGTAGAGCAGAGGTGGTGCACATGGTTCAGAGGGGAAATGCACGTGTCTAAATTGCAAGGGTGGCTAAATTTGCCTTCACAGAGTGAGGTCTCCGGTTAAAGCCACGCATAGTGTCAGAGCATACTCAGCCACACACTGTCCGCCAGCCTTTTCCTGAATGGCTGGCAAAGATTATGTCAGAGACCGATTGAATGAAATATCCTCATGTCCGGAAAAATACATGATCCTAGCATCTGACATGGGTGCTCAAAGGAGTTTAGGATTTTTGCCCAGTGATTCTGAGAACCACTGACTTCCTCATCTCTGCTGTGCTCTTCTTGACAAATGATCAAAGGAAAGGAAAGGATGGGAAAAACAAAAAACAAATAACAACCAGTTGCCAGTGAGTTGGTTCTGACTCATACGGGGACCCCATGTGTCAGAGTAGAACTGTGCTCCAACGGGTTTTCTTTTCTTTTTTAAATTGTGCTTTGGGTGCAAATTTGCAAAGCAGATTTGTTTTACATTCAACAGTTCATGCACATTTGATTTCATGGCCCTGATTACCAACCCCAAGCATAAAAATCCTTCTTCCCCCTGCTCCCTGTGACTCCCCCCTCCCTGTGCCCTTCTTATCTGTGCATTCCTGTATGTCCAGTTTTCCCTTTACATGAATGCTGCCCCTCTGATGCCTCATTGCTGGTTGATGTAAGGGGTGAATCTCCTTAGAGCAGGTGGGTACATCGCCCTGGGGTAGGTGTTCTGCATGGAGGTTTTTCTACTGTTGTGCTGAGACCCAATCCACAGAAGTGAGTCCTTTTCTAGGCCTGAAGAGTAATCTAGGGCCATAGTCTCGGGGTTTCCACTGGTCTCCATCTGACCAATAATTCTGGTCATTTTTTTCCCAACAGGTTTTCAAAGGCTGATTTTTGGAAGTAGATCTCCAGACTTTTCTTTCAAGGCATCTCTGGGTGGACTCAAACCTCTAACCTGTCAGTTAGCAGCCAAGGGTGTTAACATTTGTACCACCCAACGACCCCATAGGATGGAAAGGGAAAGCTAAAAAGAGAAAACAGAGAGAGTGAAGGAGCTCTCCCCTTATATGTATTCATCCATTCATTTAACACATATTTACAAGAGATGACTCTGTATAGTGTGTACCAGGTCTCTGTTCAATAAGTGATGAGTTGCTGAGTTGAAGGATAAAGGAGAACAGCCTCTGCTTTCAGGGGCTCCCCCTTCTAGAGAACGGGTCACCAGATACACAAACAACCATAGGGTTTTCAAGGCTGTGACCTTTTGGAAGCAGATAACCAGGCTTTCTTCTGAGGTGCCTGGGTGGGTTCAAACTGCCAACCTAGCAGTTAGTAGTTGAGCCCTGAACTGTTTGCACAACCTAAGGACTTCTTTAGCTCCTTGGACCTGTCCAAACTCATTTGATTAGTCCTAGAAGGGAGTAGGTTAAAGGGCATGGATGAATCAGCACAAGAATCCATCACTGGCCCTAAAGAAAAAGTCAGACAATCTGAACGAGTCAGGCCTTACTGATTGCAGTTTAACACATGAGAGGAAAAGTAAGTTATTCAGCAGCTGAAATGTCCTGTGCCAGTTTGAAAGTTAGATACTTCTTACACTCCTACAGAACTTACTCTTTTCATAGAAACCTACCTCTGAGTTTAGAAATCTGTAAGAGAGCTGGGAAGCCTTCCAAAACATTAAGTAGCTGCAGCTTTAATTTCTTATTAATAATCTGATAGATTTCAGGTACTGAATAGAAACATCTTCCAAAAAGTCATGAAGGAGAATGTCCTCGATTCCTTGCAACAAAGTATGAAGATACCATAAACCTGCTAGTCAGTGCAGATACTCTCTAATTATAAGTGACCAAAAGACACACGTGTCACAAACTCAAACTCTGGCAGCAACTGGGCAGATTGTGAACAGTCTGAGAACCTCTACCTGGTCTATAGGGGCAACCACCACCCAGCCCAAACCAATCGTTACTATGAAGGAAATCAGGCTGGTGTGGCCAGAATTAGATTGTTTTTTTCAAAGATTTAAAAGTGCTAATAACTGAATCAAATTTTAAACAAACAGAAACAATAGTGCCAGCCAATACTAGGTAAATAAAATTAAACTTGTTTAATGGTTGAACTGAGCCACCAGTTTTCAAGCTTTGTGGTAAGAATTTTTAAAGCACTACATCATTTCCTAAAAAATTAAATAAAAGGTGAGGTTCATGACTAGTTGAAGGAGATAAATTTTCACCGCAGAAATGACGTACTCCTGACCCTTCAAATAAAATGATTGCTTTGGAGATAGATGTTTAAGAAAAAATCCTGGCAATCATTTCTATTCCAAAGCAATTATTCCAATTACTCATTTAGAAAAAAAAGAAAAATCTTTTGTTGAAGCTAACCAGAGAAAGAAATTTGACTTAATTCAGGGTTCACTGGGTCTAGAATCACAGGACACTCGTCTGTTGGCTTTCTTTATCTGAGGTAAATCAGACATTCACTGAATTCAAAAAGAAATTTTTGCTGGATTTTAGGCAGAACTCAAAAAGCTCATGGTCCATCAACCCCACTCTTTACTCCATAGAAGCACTTGAAGTCCACGGAGTTTGCAGAAAGGGAGGGCTGTGGTAGTGACCCCAGCATTTGGTATCAATTTCTAAATAAGGATAGAAACCAGCAGTTCAAACAAACCTCTTCCTACCTTGTACAGCTGCACATCATAGCATTTAAAGAGCCGGCACACGTCAGACGATGACATAAACCTGACTGTGTCTTGCTGCAGAGATTTCCAGAAGGAAGTCAGCAAATCCCCCACCTGATGTAAATAATAGAACATATCACCAAAAACTCATTTGGTGTCTAGTGAAACTAATTCCTCATATGTACTTAATCAATCCCAAATGATAAGGGGATTACATTTTGTTCCAACTAAGGTAAGGCTTTGTCTATATCAGCTTTGCTGAGCTGTATTTTTGAAGTATTCTTTCTAGCAACCCATCACAGAGTGCCTGTCAGTAGGATGGAATAACATGGGAGCTCTGGTAGCGTAGTGCCTATGGCTTTTGACTGCTAACCAGAAGCCTGGTGGTTCAAACCCACCAGCCACTCCTCAGAAGGAAGATTAGGCGATCTACTTCCTTAGTGATACCGCCTCTGAAACCCAAGGAGTGATCTGACTCCACAACAGTGAGTTATGTTGATGAGGAAGTTCTGGAAGGAAAGGTGTTTCTGGCCACAAGGGGGCTCTTGTTGATTATAATAGGACGCAGCTTGGACTGCAGAGGTGAAGACAATAGCTTAGAATAAAGCATATGTTCATTGACTGACTGGCTGATTCCATCACTCATCTTTGAGTTCAGAAAGATGTGTAACAGTAATCTAAGAGGACTTCTCCTTGACATCAAGTCTGTGTAAGCAAAAGGATGGTGAGATTCTACGTATTAGCTTTCTTTAAAGACTGCTAACCAGAAGGCTGGCAGTTCAAACCCACCAGCCACTCCTCGGAAGGAAGGTTGGGCAATCTACTTCCGTAGTGATACTGCCTCAGAAACCCAAGGAGGGGTCGCTATGAGTCGGGTCCCACTTGATGGCACACAACAACAACAACAACAGCAAAGACTTGTGTAGACAACTCTGTTGAGGAACAAAATGGCAGCTTTCATACTTTTCTTTCCCCTCTTCCCAGTGTTGACTTTTCAGACTTCCTTATTTAATCTGGTGGCCAGTCTAAGTTGCCAGGTAACAAAAATGCCTTTTGGGGGTTTCTACAGGCTCAGATATTCTGAGGCATCACAACCCAGTTGTCAGCATCCCTAACACTAAAACCAGGTGCTTCTGAGTCTATTCTGATTCTTGGCGACCCAAGTATGTTAGAGTAGAGCTGTGCACCATAGGGTTTTCAATGGCTGATTTTTCAGAAGTAGACCAGTAGGCCTTTCTTCTTAGGTGCCTCTGGATGGATTTGAACTGTCAACCTTTTGGTTAGTGTTTGAGTGCATTAACTGTTTGGACCACCCAGAACACTCTTTCCTGATGATAGGACTGGCCAATAACCCCAGACAAGAAGTTCTATTCTCATGTGCAGGTCATCAAATACATGAAGGGGAGTTAGGGGGGTCAACTTTTGAGTTATATCAGTATATGTCTCTGATTTGAAATCCTGTTATCAGGGACATTATTTCTCGGGAAGATTTCTCCAAAGAGAGTCATAGATATTTAACAAAAAATAATAGTAGTGCGATGGGCAGGATTTATCCATCCTTTTACTCTCAGGTTGGTAATTTTAGAGTACGGGCCCTTTGGGTTTGGTGGGTCTGAGAGAGCAATCACAGACTCATCTCTGCTAATTCCCTCATTATCCATATTCAAAGGCCATCAAATCCTGTTGCCTCTTTTTCAGATACAGTTCTCTAATCTGCCTCCCTTTCTCTCTGTTGTCACTGTTACTGCTCCAACCCTCATCATTTCTTACCTCGATTATGAAAAACCCTCCTCACAATCCTCTGTTTCATCTTCTTCTTCTTCTTTTTAACTTTTCACTATAATTTGAGTGAAAGTTTACAGACCAAATTGGTTTTCCATTCAACAATTCATACACATTTTGTTTTGTGACGCTGATTGTAATCCCCACAATGTATCAACACTCTTTCCACTTCCTCCCTGTGTTTCTTGCTTTTATTTGTCCTTTTTTTTTTCTATCCCTTCTTGCCTTCTGAGCTTTATCCCTGACAAATGCTGCCCTTTGATCTCACATGGTTATTGTTATAAGGAGTGTATACCTCCCTGGTGTTATGGTTCACCTTATAGAGCTATCTATTGTTTGGTTGAAAGTTGAGCTGCAGGGGTGAATTTAGTTCCAGGCTTGAAGGGTGACTAAGGGCCATAGAGACAGGGGTCCTACTGGTCTCTATCTGACCAATAAGTCTTGTCTTTTTTAATGATTTTGAGTGTTATTCCTCATTTTCCTCCCACTCTATCCAGGACCTTCTATTATGGTCTATATTTTGTGTCTATCTTTTGTGATCTCTTTCAGAGCAGTTGGGAGTGGTTGCCAGTTACCATCTAGTTCCTCTTATCTTAGAGTCCTGGAGGCTGAGGTTCATGGGATTCATTAGTCCTTCGGACTAATTGTTTCCAAGCGTCTTTGATTTTCTTCACTCTTCTTTGATTTAGAAGAGGAGAGACCAATAGTTGCAATTTAGATGGCTGCTCACACTTTTAAGACCCCAGTGGCTACTCACCAAAGTAGGATGCCAAACATTTTCTTTGAGGAGTATGTTATGTCAATTGACCTTGATTTTGCCTGACATTATGGTCTTGAGCCCTAGGCCTGGTGACTCATTCCCTCTAGGTGTTTGGTTATGGCTAAGAAGTTTTCAAAGCTTTGCCCCTTGTATGGTCTACTGTATTTATAGATTTATTTTCAGTACATATAAATACATACGTAGAAATATCCTCTGTCAATTCTCTCTTTCCATATACATACGTGAGTGTTGTTCCATTCACCTTCCCATACCTGTTCAGCTTGCGTGTCTATCTGTGTATCCACTTGTGGATTATAGCTATTACTGTTATTGCAGATTGTGTATGTAATATTCACCTTTGTTGCCTTTAACTCTTATGTTCTTCCCAGTATCTGCCTTTGCCTTGATCATTTTGTGCTGACCTCCCCCTTATTATATATTGCCTTTCTCTTCACCTAACTTAATATGTCTACCCTCAATTGGAGATGTACTCTTGCTTTTCCTCCCACCCCTGGTAAACTTCAAAGAATGTTTCTTTCTGTGTAAACCTTTTCTTGACTTTTTATAGTAGTGTTCTCATACAATGTTTGTCCTTTCGTAATTGCCTAATTTCACTCAGCATAATATCATCCAGGTTCATGCATGTTATGAGGTGTTTTATGGATTCTTCTTTAGCGTTGTGTGGTATTCCATTGTGTGCATGTACTATTGTTTGTTCATCCATTCATCTGTTGATGGACACTTAGGATGTTTGCATTTTTTTGCTATTGTGAATAGCGCTGCAATGAATATGAGTGTGCATATATTTATTCATGTCCTGGCTCTTATTTCTGTAGAACGTATTCCTAGTAGTGCGATTTCTGGATCATATGGTATTTTTGGGAGCTCTGGTGGCGTAGTGCCTAAGGCATTTGACTGCTAACCAGAAGGCTGGTGCTTCAAACCCACCAGCCACTCCTTAGAAGGAAG